ACGCTAAGTCCTGCCCCAGGGCTTCTCTCCTTTGTTCAGCAGAACTAACGAGCCATTTTGCTATACCACAATGTGGATGTATTTTTCATTTTCCTTTTTGATAGAGAAGACTCCTCTAGACAAGATACAATTCTGGCCTGTTCTGCACTGAAGAAGATGTATAGGCATATATTAGTTAGTGGTGCATCTGCAATTGAAAGCAACCAGCCAGAGCAACCAGGAGAAAAGGCAGCACTGAAGATCCTCTTTGTTCATTTGGATGGGCCTATAGACATCATTGTTGGACGCCTGGAGAAGAGGAGAGGACATTTTATGCCACCTGAACTTCTCAAATCTCAGTTAGATACTCTGGAGCCTCCTCGTGCACCAGAAAACTTTATTACTGTCAGTATAGAAAAATCTCTCCCTGAAATAGTGCTGGAGATTGAGTGTGCCATTTTCCAGAGTGAGGCTATTCTGGAGTAAGTTTCTGAATTACACACGCGGAAATTCCCTTGTGGATATCACGGGTATGCAACAGCATTTTAATTATTAAATTGTTTATTAAATCAAAACAACTTATTTTTCCCAATAATTAAATGGATTGCAATGTTAAGAGCTGGTTTACTACTTTGGTATTCTTATTCTGTCTCTGTAAAAGACAGGTAAGATTAAATTTTCAAAAACTGTCAAACCTTTTAAATCCTTCACCAAATGAAGTTAAAACTCACATTTTAGGAAGAGCCTGCTTTTGAACATCTTCCCAAGGGTCACACACAATAATTTTATAATTTCTTCATTTTAATTTTTACTCTGTCAAACATGGAGATAGGCAAATCTGCTATTAAGTGATGAAATAATTTACAGCTTTGTTAGAAACAATATATTTATTTTTTTTAGAAGTATGAGAGGCGGGAATGTGCATGACAAAGTTCTGTGCCTTACAGTACCACTATCTCACTGCCAGATTTTCAAAAAGTTTTAGCTTCTGTGTGTCCTTGCTAACCTCACCAGGGCACTTACTGTATTGATACTTACTGTGTCATGAACTCTTACTTTATGCATTGAACACCAAGCTGAAAAATGTGGGGAAAAAAGGTAGTGATGATGAGGCAGTATACAAAAATATAATGGTATGGAAAGCTTTAGAAATAAAGTATAAGTGGCATTATATTGGCTCTGAATTCGCATCTTTCACATACAAAGCGTACTCATCGATGAAGTGCAGTGGAGAGTGAATCAATCCATGATCTAAGGTGCTGAATACAAGACTGATAGATGTTTCTCCTTTTTTTTTTTGAAAAACTGCCTTACTCTTTCACAGTTGGACCTTCTTCACTTCCCTTTTCTGGTGTGCTCGAGTCTTCCATCTCAGCCAATGCCCAGTCCTCTGTATGCTTACAGACAGGTGTTCATACAAGTGCTTTACAGCTTAAGATCAAAGTATTTCTAATACACATTTTTCACATCTTTTTGTTGTAATCGGAAAATTCCAAGTGTCCGGTTGGTTACCTAACTCACAGAATTTAAGGTTAAAATCCTTTTTAATTGTCAAAATGCGTTTTTTTTAAGTGTTCCTTATGCCTTGTTAGACAAGGGGTGCCTTTTTAGCTTAGCTTAATGAAAACTGCATATAGTTTCTGCAAGAAAGACTAAAGTGATATCTGAATGGAGTCATCCATCTTTTGTGTAATTTTTACCCAGGTAACTAGTTGACACATCCACCCAGAAGTGGTCTTTCATTGTTTGTTCGTGACCTGGAGAGAGAATACCAGGCAGCTACCAGTCTTAGTCTGCTGCTGTATGATACAGCAGCACTAGAAAAAACGCTTGCTCTCATTTCAGAGCCTGTTTGTTCCGAGAACCAAGGTACAAGCTTCAGACTTAGAGGCAAAGTGCAAGAGATAGGTCTATCTGGCTGATTCTTTACACCCTCAAATTTCAGAGATTAGGCACCTCTTCAGATCAAGTGACTCATCAGAACTGTAAAAGTTTAGTAGCTATGAAAATAAAAAAACCTGGCACCCTCTTGTAGTACCTCTGCTATTAATGAAGGCTTCGTATACAAAAAGCTTTTCTAATACACCCATTAATAAATACAGATTCATGCTAACTTTTTTCAGACAAAAAAAAGAAAACAGAGCAAGACACGGTACGGTAAATGGAAAACAGCTGCATCCTGTCACAAACAGATGATCAGACCTTCAAATTAAAAAAAAATAAAATAAAATTGGGAAACATTTTCAAGTGTGAGTGCCAAAAAGGCTAGACTCCGATTTTCAGATATGCTTGTCAGCATTTATAGCATGCTTACAAAGTGGCTGGCACTGACAGAAAATTATACCCAACTCTTAAAAAACGTTCTCTTTTAGGGAATTCTATGTAGGCACCTTACGTTTTGGAAGTCTTTTCTAAACAAAATAGTATGTTCTTACTTAACAGGCAGTCCATGCTTCTTCAGATTAGGTCAGGGTATTTCTTACTCTTTGCTTCAATGACAGGAATATTTCCTTCCCTTAACCTTTTAATATATTTGCTTTTTGCTTTTACTTAAAGCAAAGCAAAGCATATCCACAGTTCAAATGATGCTGAAAGGACAATAAAGCAGCCATTTAAATTAACATGCTACTAATCTTGTGAATGACCAGTGCAGTGTTCCTTACTGCAGTTGAGTACTTTAGTCTGTTATGTCCTAATTATCTGTGCTTGAAGATTGTAATTCCCACTTACATCCTTCCATTAAGAGACACCTCTGTACCTTCACTATTCTAGTCTCCATATTAACTAGAAATTATCAGCACCTAAAGCTAGTCATATTTTGCAGACCTAGTGTTCATGAGGTCCTTGTTTCCAAGAACGGGCAGCTGGCAGTTACGTGGATGAACACAGTAAGATGTTATACCCCAATTTTTTTCAGAATGTTGATATGAAGATAATGCTGAGCATTCGCATTTCTCTCTCGGAATCTCAGAACAGGAGGGAGTTTGCCTCTACCTTGCTCCATCTCAGACGGGGACAGATACAGAAAAAAAATTGCAGAACCTGCCTCTCTAAGCAAACAAGTAGAAACTAAGAAGCCATTACTTCCACTGCAAAGCGTGGGTGAAATCTTTAGGAACATTATAGATGCTTTCCCTCTAAACTCTTCCTGCTTGCTTTTTGTTTAGAAAAGGTTGCAAGTCTCCTGGGAAACTTTTCATTAGCTCCATTTGATGTTAGATTTATTTTCCCCAACATAGAACCCAGCTTGTGTACTTAGCTGGGCAGGAGCGTTGCAACTGTTTCTTCAGCTTTTGTCACTTAAACTTTTGTCACAGTGCACATATCTGAACTTCACAATGCTAAATCCACAGGGGTTTGCAGGAGTGGTTGGCTTTTTCCCCTCTACAGGGCAAGCCTGGTTGGTTTCTGCTGGCCTGTTCACATGCAGCTCCAGGAATGCACAAGTTGCTTAGAAAGAATACCGAATTGCATTTCCCAGGGCTGTCTGTGGGCTCCAGCTCCACAACTTGAGACAGTACCAGATACTGCACAGAAGTTTATTGTCTCAACTGATTGCATAGACTGCTACCTACTATTCTGAAATATTATAAAGCATTACTTCTGTTCACTTAATATCCTGTGCATCACAACTTAAAAGATTAACATGTCAGTCTTAATCTAAATGCTAACTGCCTAGACCCACTCTCCAGTGTTAATGAGTCTGTGCAGGTGTACAGCGGAAGGAAAAGACTGCAGAACAATCTCTGTACTTAACTTTCATTTACCTGCCCAAACACAATCCTACATTTGATTTACTTTTTTTTTTTTAAATGAACTTAACACTATATTAGGGATGTTGTATCCAGGTTAGTTGCAATTCATGTTAGTTGGGCAGGTTATTTATACTTAGCTCAGGTTATTTGGATGCAAATTTTCTGTCCATATTTTGAAATTCTGCAAAGGCAGCAATAACTAAGGAGGAAACAACTGGAGTTAGAAATTGCTTTTCTGTCTCTGCTATGAGCACAAATTATCTATGGAAGGTATATGTACTATACCTCCTCAAGAGTGTGTGCTAAGCACAGTTTGTAGCATGCTGTGTAAATACTACAGCATAAGCATTTTCCAATACTATAATAAGGGAATAAAAATGAAATGTTAGATCCCAACAGCAGTATCCATTCATACATTAAACACAGGAAGAGTAGAGTCTTCTTAAACTGCACAGGTTATCCATACAGACAAAGGAACAGACGTAGCTGCCTGCCAACTCATCTCTTGAGGTGGAGCCAAGAAGAGAATTAGACAGACCACATCCTTTACAAAACTAGCCATCATGTCATATTCCCAGTACTACTGCAACAGTGTTTGATTTGAATGTACACATTTTAAATCTTTTAAATGGCATCTGTCAGTTCACACTGCCATGACTTTTAGCATTTTTCTTTTTGCAGCAGTTACTTTTTCTAACAGTAATTGGGTGATCAGGCAAGGCAGTTTTGTAGACAATCCTATCAGATAATTGGGTCCAGTATAGGGGAAAAGAAGAAAGTAGGAAAATAAAAAGAGACAACCTGCAGGCACTCATGCCTTTCTTCTGGTCCAAAATGCAAGCAGCAGATTTCAAATACAAGTCATCAAAATTCTCAGAGTTAACTATAAGACTGTTTCTGAAAGAAGACATAGATGATACTTCTGAAGAGAGAATTTTAAAAAGGACAGGAAAAGGGGCAACAAGTGGGGGTGGCATGAACAGGAACATAATAGTATGCTATTACACCGAGAAGTGCGATCTTGCTTTTATTGTTAAAGATGTAATGAAAAGTCTATCCTACCTATAAACCTTGTGCTGCTTACTGTGTTGTGGGAATATAATGGAAGACTGGCGAGGAGGACTGTAAATACGCTCAAGCAACTTGCAGCTGGGGTGTCAAAAAACACACACATCACACTGCTAATCACTGTTCAATCTTACGTGCCTGACAAGTAGAACATCTGCATTTAGATAACACAGGCCTGTGACAGACTCAGGGGCACCCTGAACATGCCTGGGATTCCTGCCCTGCTGTGAGAAAGACCAAAGCACAGTGGAAAACTGCTGCCTGCAAAAAATCCCTGCTATGTACAGGCGACATTCTGTGATTCTGTGAAAGCAGCAGGTTCGGAATCTCTCTCCCTCACTCCAGCAAGGACCGAGCTCTGCGGTGCCTGCGTCCCCGCTTACGTGCCTCTGCCCCGGGTGCTGCTTCAGAGATCCCCCAGTTTGGGAGGTGAAGAGAATAAATTTGCTTTTTTGCATTTTATCCATGGTTTTTGTGGTTGTTCCTGTGTCCTGCCTGTATCAGCTCACATGTGTTTTCTGATAAAACTGAAGTCCCTCCTATGCAAAAGATGGCTCAGTGTTTTACTTGTATTTGGTTTGCGTGGTAAGGTTTTGGTAGCAGGGGCTGCATAGGGGTGGTTTCTGTGAGAAGCTGCC